GCTCATCCCAATGACTTGTTAAGATGAATGAGTTTGGCAATTGGTTATTATCTGAGAGTGTTACAAACTTAGTAGATTGGTGACCTGTTTGTGTTCTCAGGTTAATCGCTTATTTAGCTGGCATTCATTTGGTGCTGCTAGTCCATTTGTTAATTCTGAAAGTTGTTGGACATTTGTTTAATAAAAACAAATATATTCGAAGAAATCTAGCGTTCTAATTAGCCATATTAGTGGGAATAAGAGATTCAGTATAAAGTAATGTTTCAAGACATTATGGTCTGTGGTACATAAGATAAGGGCAAAATGTCTTTTGGAAGGAAATTTTCAAGTTATAATTGATCAATTTCCTAACTCTTTTATTCTGTTTTGGCAGAATACTCATGTATCTGCCAAATAAAATATAAAATAGGTAAGATGTAATTCAGACATTTATTTTCATGACAGCTGTGGAAGGTATGTAATTGTTTTTTGCCAATTAGTAATAAAATCAGAGATATTTGAGGAAATTTTCATTAGAATCACTTAGACTTTTCTGTCCCTATATTAAGAGTACCCGATTGAGGCATTTTTCTAGTAAATGCATGAAGTCTTATTTAATTAGTTAGTATGTTAGAAGAGAATAGTAAAAGAATTTTTGATTGCGTTTCTGTCCTTTGGTATGAGATTTATTTGTTAGTTTGTTATCAGAGACTATATTTACCACATAGAAGCATATCAAGTTTACCAAAAAGTGGCTTGGCGCCTCGTAGCACAGTGGTTACGGCGCCAGCCATATACACCGAGGCTGGTGGGTTTAATCCCGGCCCAGGCCAGCTAAACAACAATGACAACTGCTACAACAACAACAACAAAAAAGAAGCTTACCAAAAAAGTGTGCAAAACAGCAGTTTACTTGAACTTGAGATTCAACATTGGCTCTTTACCTACAGCTGCTGATTTTTGAGTTAACAATTGTGACTGTCTATTGAAAGATGCTAGATACATAGCTAGCTTTTATGAGAGGAGAAATAAAGAGGCTATTAGAATGATTAGAAAACAGTATTTTCTTTCTGACGTATTCCATAGAAAAATCAAGACAGGACTTGGTTCTGTTTCATCAACTACTTTATGGCTCCTCACAGCTGGTCAGGCTCCTTTTATGTGGCATTTAAGCCTTGAGTTGTGAGTCAACAAATGGACAACAACAAATGTTCAGCATCTTATTGGTGTTAAGCCTAGCAAATTGGCAAATTATACAAATACACCAAATGCATAAACAAGTTTGCATGAGCCAGGGATTCTGCATGAGGACAGCAGCTGCCAGTTATGTCCTTAAGGACAGAAATCCCCCTCCTCATCTTCTAATCTGTTACTGCCGCAGGTTGGGAAGTGTCAGCTGTGAGATTTATAGATTTAGGGCTCTGGGATAACATGGTGCCTCTTTGAACTTTTCAGCTTCAAGAACTTCTTGTTATTCAAACAGACAGAGATAAAGAGACCTATCTATGCTAACCCTATATAACTCTTGAGTCATGTCACAACATGAGTGGTGGGCTAAATAAACAAATTTCCAAGATATATATGTGTGTGTGTGTGTGTATTGAGTGTTGATACAAATTACTCATCAGTAATACGGTAGTAATTTTCAGAAGCATCTCCCTTCAACTGGTACATTCTATTCATATTGGTCTTTGGAATATGAAACTCCAAGAGCTGGGTTTGTTTTTGCAGTCTGAGCTTAATAAGCAAAACCCTCAGGGTAATGACAAAAAGTCAGTTTCTGGTCTGCATCTCCCCCCAACACCAGTCCTTTTTTTTTGTATTTAGAGGGTTTTTCTCTGACTCTTCCCCCGCCAAACTTCTCCTTTAAAATTATGGTGCTAGGAATCTGGTTTCATGCTTTGGAGGGTTGTTGCCTTCTAATCGGGATTGAATATCTCTGGTTCATTATGCAGTGCTGAACTTGATATGGCAACCATTTCCTGGTAAATCAATAAAACCAGCCTTATATGTTGCTACAAATAATCGAGTGGCAGGTAGAAGAGACCTCTGACCGAGTGGGTCCTCTAACTGCTTTTGATCAAAAGAAATTGGTACACCACTTGGTCTATAAATCTTTTTTTCCTGTGATTTCGTAGTGTCAGGAGAACATTTCCATGGATATTTTACTTATACAGAAAAACGAAACCTAAATCTCAAACCACCATTTATAAAACCCACGAACTCCTGGGCTGTCATTTGGGGTTGCAGACGCAGAGCTCCCTTTCTGGTTGTGCTCTGGGTGATGCCTGTCTGATGGGGATGCATCTTAAAGGCAAGACGGAGTCAAGGATATAATTTAGTGACATTTTGCTGACTGCACTCCTCACTATGTTCATGTCTCTTCGTATATTTTACTATTCTGCCAATATTCAGCTATCTCTTAGCCTACTTGAGGGTGGTCTCGCGACTCTGCGACCATTTCCTCCATGCATCATGGCTCATACACGTGTCTGGTGATGGCATTAGCCACTTCGTTAATTTTAGTGCTATTTTTTGACTGTGTGTATGAACCAGTGTATATTTAACAAGTGAGCTGACTAAATGCCATTCAATGAGTTGTCCTTATTTTGGTTTGTGTCTTGCCCCAATTTAAAGTTTTCAAACTGAAATCTAGCATTTAACCACTGCTTTTAACTCTCTGCCTTTTAATTTTGAATACCAAATATGCCATAGTCATTCAGGTGGCCAAGTAGACTTTTTCTGACCTTGAATGTGGTTTACTGGTATTACATTTTTTTTTTAAGGATGACAGTATTTGCTGTTTTAGGATACTGTAAGCCCTTGCAATTTCCCAAAGATCATTTTTAAAGTCTGACATGCAGCTGCCTCACACCTACATTTTTAGCTGAGAGGCGTCTTCCCTGCATTTGTATTTAAGTGACTCTGGAATGTAAGGCAGGGATAGGTTGCTGTAGGTTAATCTTTGGACACTTCATGACTGATGGGCACCGGCATCTGTGGTTTAGATCGCCTTGTTCTTTAGGTCTAGAAATAAAATTCCCCTAAACCTGATGATGGTCAAGGGAATGTTTACTAAGATCAGTTTCCCTCCATTTGCATAATTTTAAAGCTGGAGGTAAAACATAGCACACATGTGACTTTAAGAAAGGGAAAAAAACCTGTCATCCAAAAAGTAATTCATAGCACTGGGACAGTTGAAGTCACCCCAGTGGCTCCTGTTCTGTGACGGCATGTCCAGCAAGGTGTATTCTTTTTTGTTAGGAATGTCTTATATCCATGTACTTGGATACAGATGCCAGGTATTAATTAGTATAGGTTTATGGGGGAAAAGTGTATTTTTGTGTAGCTACTATCTATGTGGGCTAAGGCATTATTATTAGTGTGTTTTCACAGCACAACTCAAAAGTCAAAGAAAATGCTCTGTTGGTATCAATAGAATGTTGATAGAGTCTGGGTAAGAGAGTCCTATGTTGAAAGTGGAGCAGACCACAATTCTATGCAGTCAAAGAGCTTTTGGCCTTATAAGGTAGGGCATATAATCTTATTACAAAGCCCTTTAGAATCAATTTCAAAAAACAAAAAACAACCTTAAGTGTGGTAACCTTGAGTTTATTCTTTTTTTCTTATTAAAAAAAGGTCTATTTTCCACTACCTTACTCTATTCAAATGTACCCCAATGGTTTTTATTTAAAAGATAACTTCTATCCTATGTATGTATTCACAGCTGTCAAAAATATGTGTCACTCTTTGTCTTACAAATCCCTGTTCTCAGCCATTTCAGAGTCTAATCCTTGAGGCGGCCATTTTGCTGAAAAGCAGTTAAAGAAACAGTCTGTCAGCCTGGTCTTGCTGAAAAAGAGTCATTTTTTTTCTTCCAGTGTGAGCTTTAGTTCCAAATTTTTGAATGATGTAAAATTAAGGTCAGAGAGTCAAATATAAAAAATAAATCTTGCAGGCAAGGCCCTCATTAGCATGCACTCATCAATCTCCCAAATCTAGGAGCTGGGAGACCATTGTACTGTTATCCTACTGATATCGAGCTGATAGCAAATTTAATGGAACATGCTGGCAGTTGTGAAGGGCAGCTGATAATAATGGTGCAAACTCAACAAAAAAGTTTAGTAAAATCCGCAGGAGGTGTTTTCTATCAGTTGGCCTTGTTCTGTTGGTTGCTGGCGTTTGCTTGGCAAGAGAGAGGTGTTCTTTCCTCCCCAGCTAAAGAGATTTTAACTGTGCTTAAAAATACTGAGTGTGCACTTCTATCACTGCGTCTCTCTGACAAGACCAATGGAGGCAATGCAGTTGCATATTGAGGAGGAAAATCCACCCAAACTGTTAAAATTTATGTAAACCCCAAAAGAATTAGCATTTTTTGGTTATCAGATTTCAAGAAGGCTCTTGGACTATTGACAACCTCTTTCCCTTTTTCTGGTTCAAGGTGTCGTAAGGGAGCACATGATCTCAGAAAATGGGATAACCTTAAGTATTTTTTCCTCAGGATTGATGGTATGTTCTGCGTCTTAACCACGTCTGTGAAAAGTGAGATGAACTCTTGGGTAATTAGATAGCATCTTAAAACGTATGATTGGCCAGGTTGCTGCCCTGAAGAGTTTATGGGGGAAACGTCAGCCTAACAATAGGGCCTATTTCACTAATTAAAGTCATGCCCAAATGGGTTAACTTGATATAGATGTTTGGCTTTAATAGAGTTTAGAAAGGGTACTGAGTCCTGAAATGTTCTGTTTGGAAAGCTTTGCCCTATAAATAATTTGCCTTTAACACAGCCAATGACCCTTAATGAGAATGCGACATTGTACTTGCTGGTGTGGTGTCTACTTGAGAAGAAACAATATCGGTGTGTCTAAGTATTATTGTTTTTAATGTTATTAATACATTGATAACATTATTATGAATTATTTTCTAAGTAATAATAAGTACTTGTTACTTTTAACGTATTGAGATACCTTGTATTGTGTGCCTGGCGTTTCTGAACACCTGTCTTCTCTGCTCTGTTTCAAGTGTGAATCATGGTGATACAGTGAAAGACGGTGATTCACGGCTTTGGAGGGCATGCATGTGTATGATTAAGGGATATAAGTGCAGGACTCCCAAGATTTACTTCCTTCCTGTTCCAGCAGGGTCACCTGAGGGGAGTGAGTAATGGGATAATTTATAACGCCACAGGCCCGTTGTCAAGAGACCTCTAGTCAAAACAGGAAGATAAGACTCAGAAGATTTCAACTGGAAGAATGCAACTTTTGATACTCTCTGGATCTACCTCTTAATTGCAAGCAGGAGAGTCTTCAGAATTTTCCTGTTTTTATCTTTCCAAGGAGATAAATGCTCGTTAAAAAGGTTAGTATGTCCAATCCTGGATAAATCATTATCACTCTGTTAAATTTTATACCTCTTTCTTCCTTGCCCTTTGTTTTGGGTATTCTTATGTTATTGCGACATCCAGGAAACTTACTGGCCTAATTATAGAACTCAGGTTCTTCTTACAAAGTCAAAGGATTAGCAAGTGTTAAGAGTGTAATGAAAAATACAACAACATTTTGAGGGGTGAGGTGGAGCTTATCAAAAATGACTGGCCTATGTTTCTTAGACTCTTACTCTTATTGATACATATTTCACTCCGGTTTTGAGTTAAAACAGGGTATGGTGGACTGATAGCTACTTTCCTATTTATGTAGGCCAAAAGGGCTTAGCTGGACTTGAAGAAGGCTTTTTTTTGTGTGTGTGCGTGTGTGTGTGTGTTTTAATTATTGTAAGCCAACATATAGGAGAGTTGAGCAGGGCATTTGATAATGCTCAGGAGCTTTGCTTCATTGCCAGTGGTTCTAGATACCACCTTCTGTGCTTTGTTTATTTTTATACCTAAAAACGAAATGCCAAATACTTCATTTCAAATGGGAATCATCCTAACTTAAGGTACATCATCACTTTGGAACCACTTATTTTTCAGAGGTCTTATGGCACTGTCTTATGTGATGGTCTTCTGACTCAGTCACATTCAATTCATGAAAATTGAGTACTGCTAAAAAGTGATATTTTTACGTTAAAAAGATCAATTTCACCTTTGACTTTGGAATGTCTTAGGAGTCAGCGGTAGACTTCTCATATTAGATATTAAGACAAAATGTGAATAGTTCTAAGCTCTTCCTTCTCTCCCATCTATCCTTGGAGACTAAAACATTGCCATAAATAACCGGTACCCTTTTGAACTGACCTTCAGGTTCATGAGATGTAAATATTGATGGCCTTGACATTTTTTGGTATGTGCACAGTTGAGGAGGCACACTGTCTCCAGATAACTGAAAGCAGGTGGGCGAGTGGGTGGACAGCCGTGGGCTCTCACTGATCCCTGTAATTCAGATGGCCCCTGCCATAATCCTGTTTCTGGATTTGTTCAGGGAGAATGTCTCATAGGCAAAGGAATCTACAAGTTCATGTCCTTTAGACTTTCTATGGGCAAATCTCACAGGATTGGACCTGTGTCAGTCTGGCATTATAAAATGTTTTCTTTCTTTCTCTATTTTTAAGGCAAGCATGAAACAAAGGTTATTGAGGAAGAGAAGGGTAGGCTTACAGAGCAAGATACATTCACCATAGACAGAAAATGGGCCCCCATTGCCAGTGTAGTAATCAGAGAGGCCTATCTGATGTTTTCTAGGGTAAATAGTAAGAAAATGAGTCCTTCCAGCCCTACATTTGAAATTAAGGACGCCACTGCCAGGTAATATTGTGTAGTAGCTAAGAGCTTGGTGAAAGCACAGATAGTGAGAATAAGATGGAGTCTGTCAGGCTAGGGCAGACGTGACACAGCTGGCCTGGTTGGTTTAGGTCCAGCCTGACCTTCACCCCTGTCTCCTATTCTTGCTGTTTTGTAAATTTAATTCCCACCCTAAAGATGCCCATTTTGAGTGGTTTAGGGGGATTGATTTAGGAGATTAACTTTTAAATTAAAATGTTATAATAGGTCACTGAGGTATGCTGATTATTATTTAAAATAGAGGTTGGTGTGGTCTTTAAACTTAAATATATAAAACTATACTTTTGAAAATCAAGAACAGAACAGTCTTGGAGAGGCTATTGTCCCTGTTTGCCAGAATCTTGGCCCTCTGACAAGAAGCCTACACATTGCCTGATAGTGACAGGGGCCGGACCCTCTTTGTCAGGTAACATTGGGAGCAGAGTTCCCAGCTTCCAATTTCTACCACTTATTAGCCATGTGACCTTAGGCAAATTTTATAGCCTCTCTCAGCCTCAATTTCCTCAGCCGTGAAATGGGGATAATAATAATACTTTCCTTTCCTTTAACAAAATTAAATGAGAGCTATTTAATTGGGATTAGCACTTTAATAAATATTTCTTAAATGTTACTTGTTAATGAGATTTCTGGTACCCTATGCCCCTAGAAACTAACTTTCAAAACTGGTAAGTCCTACACTTTACGAAATTCTTCTGTTTGGAATGTGCGCTCAGTTACATGGAAATCATATACGAAAACAGATGAGACTACAGGCACTGATTTTGCGAAATCATTTAGCAAGTTTTGTCTCACTATTGGTTGTAAAGTAATTTTTCTGCTTTTATGTAATGTGGATATTAGAAACAGGAATATTAGAGTACTTACTCCGTTGTCTTGTCAAGCGTTATTGGCAGCCCTAATTTGTATATCCATTGTGCAGCTGTAGCTGCAGAACTACCCTCTGCGGGGATTATTATAGCACTTGAGGGGCTGGAATTACAGTGCTCTGTTTGGGGCACTTTTTCCACTAAGAAGTCCGGGCATCATGAGACGGTGCTTCCCCATCTGTCCACTGTAGCATCTGTATGTGTTTTACCTGAGCTCTTAGGCACCCCACTGAGAAAGGGGATTTAAAATGGAAGGGAAAAAGGAAAAATTGAAAACCAAATAACATGGTGGAAATAACAGAAACCTCTTTGAAAGAATTCCTAAACTATTCTTAATGGCAGACTTAATAGCCAGCAGCTAAACTATTCACTATTGTCTTTAAGAAACAAAGCCTAATCCACAAAGTTGAAACTCAAGTGCAAATCTGGAAATATTCCAAGGAAGTCAAGCAATACAAGCTTCTAGGTCCTCAAATTCAAAGGGGAAAAAAAATCCATTTTACAGAGTAACTTTTTACATTGATTGTGAGCTGTCAATGTTTGATGGGTAGATACTGAAACATTAACTGATTACATTCCCGAATGCTATGCGGTCATACTGGTGGCCTCTGCTGTTCTGAGCTTCTAAATTTGTGTACTGACACATGGGGATTCAGTAAATGAGCAACGGAGAGCAGAGTGGAACGTTTTGGCATCCGCTTGAAATTTCCTTAAGAGAAACAGTGGAAAGATGTTGCCTTCAATTGAAATATTATTTATTGATCGCCTTTGCTTTATAGTACCTAATAAATTGTCCTGTCCTTTAAAAATACCTCATCTGCCTGATTCTCCTTCTCTAGTCACAGCCCTTAGAGAAGTACTCTGCACTGGTGAAGGGGGTGATCCTATGAGGTCTTTTTAGTCTTTTTCACACTGGGTGGCTCCCCTCCAGCCATTCTCTTTTATGCTAGTGGGCACTCTTCAGTTTTACATGGGGATGAGAGACGTGTTTTCTCCCATATTCTGTTGTCTTAATATTTTTCATCTAGGTGGCCCTCCCTGCTATATTTGTGTGGTTCTGTGGAGCTTTTATACCCATGTGCTCAGGGTGGAATCTGGCCACCCATTGAGAATTTGGATGATGAGGGCACTGTAGAGATCAGCTTTATTTTAGGGGTGCAGAAACAGAGGCCCAGAGAGGTGAAGGAATTTACTTAACATCGTTCAGCCAACAAATGTCAGGGCACCTAACAACCAGTGTGATTTCAGCTTTTCCACCAAGGCATAAAGTATGCAGTAGTATGCCAGTCGGTGCCATGCTTAAAGGATTGCAGAATAGGAAGACAGAATAAGAATCCGAGTTTGGGACAGGGTCTGTTTGAGGTTGTATCAGAGGGATGTCTTTTGGTGAGGAAGCAGGAATGTTTTTTCTCTGATATCAGAGAAAAGGAAGAGACTAAAAGCATGACAAAGATCTTTTTTAAATGGATGTTTACTTTCTGTTGAAACCATAGAACAATGAATGTTTATTCCTCACCAGGTAATTTAGGGTAATGGACTATGGACAATTTCTGCTTTTACCTTCTTGCCTCTTTTGGTCTGTGCTGCTTTTTGTTTTGCTAAAAATGGGCTAAAAGAGAAAGCAGGTGGATTGCTTTCCCCATCTGATAACTTCTGAAATCTCAAGTGAAACCCCTGGCTCGGATCCCAGGGTGAGGTCACACAGTCTGATATTACTTGGATTTATGTTGATGTTGACCAAATGCACAGCATGCTGCCGTGATGCCTTTACAGCCGTTTGTCAGGGTGGCAGGAGTGGCTCTTGGGTCAGTTGCAAGCATAGCACATGGGTGGGCATCTGTGTGAGCTTTTTTTTTTTTTACTGTAGATTTCTGTTTCCATTATTTCCTATGCAGTTATTTTTTTTTTTATTAAATCATAAACACATAGATCATGTAGACATTAATGCATTTATGGGGTACAATGTGCTGATTTCATACAGAAGTAGGAATGCTTACATCACACTGGTTAATATATACCTCATCTCATTTACTTAATTACTGTTAAGGTATTTATACTCTAGATCTAGCATATACTCTTGCATTATGCACCATAGGTGTGATCCCACCATTCACATCCCCCCTCCCCTTCCATCTCACCCTCCTTCATCCAGGGCCATAGTTGTGATCTATTCTTCATATGAAAATGTGAGTGATTGTACATTGGGTTCATAATAATACTGAGTAGGGTGGATATTTTTTCTTCCATTCTACTAAGTAGGATATGTTCCAGCTCCAAATTCATGTGGAAAACATGACTCTCAGTTGTAACTGGCATTATGGCTTTGGCCTTATCTGTGTGCACGTACACTTTGAATTCAGACTTGTCTGAGCATGTTTGGAGGTCTGGTGTTGTGGTTTCCAGGAGTTTGTTTTCATGATTGAAGCACCTCTGGGAAAGACCTCAGATCATAGGGAGGTGTGGTTGAATTGGACAAGAGATACCCAGAGCACAAATAGCCACTGCTTATGCCTTAGAGAAAACAAAAGGTTTCTCTAGCACAGTGGTTACGGCACCAGCCACATATACCACTGAGGCTGGCAGGTTTGAACCTGGCCCGGGCCAGCTGAACAACAATGACAACTATAACAAAAAAAATAGCCAGGCATTGTGGCGGACACCTGTAGTCCCAGCTGCTTGGGAGGCTGAGGCAAGAGAATTACTTAAGCCCAAGAGTT